GTTTTGAGTATGTTTTCTGTTTTCTTGTTTTGTTCAACATTAAAAAGCACAGGATGAAGAGATGGTAGAACAGCGTTGACGCCACTGACTCCTATTACTGGCCATATCCTCCAAGACTTCCAACCATTATAAGCCCGCTTCACGTGGTCCCCAGCCTGGAAGACGCACAGATCCAACTGACGCTACACACGAAGTAAGGATCTTCATACTTCTTTTCCAGATTATCGGCTGTCCGCCGCGGCTCTTTTTCCATTCGCCTCCAGAAAGTGCAAATTATGCACGACATGGAAGGCGGTGGGCCGGCATGCGCAGTACGTGACCAAGCCAACGCAATTGGTGCTGGATGATTATACTCTGGAGAGCAGAACTGTTCGCTCCCATGATTCTGCAAACGCCTGCTGCGATTGTACCAATCGATCAGGACGAACGGATTGGAGTAGAGGGACCAACCAGACGACCAATCGGGTTTCCATAGACCAGCTAGATGTGGCGTCCATCCCAACAAGTTTGGATGAGATTCAATACGTCTCATGCTTTTAGTTTAGTCTACTCGAAGTAGGGAACTTCGTTTGCCTCAAAATGTCACAGTAATGTCGTTATTTTGGATATGGCTTTACTGCAATCCAAGCGACTGTGAGTGCCTTACTTCCTAACCGTCTCTATGTCGCATATTGGGTGAAGGAATCACCCAGCATATTTTGACTAGACTAATTGGTCCTGACCTATCTCGGCTCTTTCAACCCACTCAGTTACCGACTCTTCGCGGACATCCGACGAAGTTACACAAACTCCGATCTGCTGGGGCTCGAGTTGACACATGCTTGTCACACAGTGAGAGGTACTTGGAACTCCCAACCCGAGGACGTATTGTTACCTAATGCAGCAGAGTTTAAACGTTCTTTGGACGCCCTCAACCTGCAGCTCCGGATCTTCGCTCTCATTTCTTAGTTTATTTTCCGAGTGTCTTCCAACCTCATTCTTCCTGACTTACTACCTGTGAAGTTCCTCATCGAATTCCTTCCTTTACTTCAAGTGATTTGTCTAGCCTATAACTTTACGCTATCTTTTCGTACTGTTTGTGGCCCGTAGGGAAGACACGTGGGTTTTGATTGATTGATCGATCATTGCATGAGTTGTGCGTGCTGATTTGACTCGCATAAATGGCTAATCACACCACCAAACGCTATGGTGGGTTAGCGACTCATTTAAAATTGAACGACCATAGGATTTTCCTTTAGTTCCTGCCCCAACTGAATTTGAAAACAGCTCCGTCTATAAAATGTGCCAATGCCGTCGATTGGTTTGACTATTTAACACGATTTTCATAACACACGAGATACTACCGACAGTTGTTTCACACCTGTAGGATATATTACACTAGACAATCAATTCCCTTGTATACATGCTTCCTTGACATCCAGGAATCAGGTACCTTTTTGTTCTTGGCATTTTTCCGCAGGCATATGACGAAATAGCCCCGACCAGATGTTCCGTCACTAATACATCCAACAAGATCCATACACTCGCAGCCAGAGTTGAACTTTATGAAGTCACCATCCGTCCCATTGTGAAGTATTGCAGCATGTTTTGTAGAGACATAAGAAAATCTGACAGAATAGCTCTAGAAGGCCTACTGAGTTCATTTATCGGATGTCTTTAGGCAAAAGCACAAACAGAGCCTACTGGTAGTGGTGTCAGCGACTCTAGCTAGAACCCGTTCAGGTAATGTTGGGAGAATAGCTATTCGACATTCACTTTTTGTGAACGAGCTTAAAAGCCATTCTTCACACTTTCTATATTTTACTTCTTGACTTGTTTAAACGCTCCACTGTGTTAGCCTGATTGGTACACACAAGTCATTGTTAATGAACGCTCATCTCAGTGTCATCTTTAGCAGTGCCATCGGCAAAAACACATTCCATTGATTGTTTTCCGCAACACCTTCCTACTTGGTTATGTTAAAGGAATATTTCGCTATCACACAATTATTGTACTAGTTTTTAATGTTTGGGTCTGTACTTCTTATTCTCGTTTGTTTTGTGACTCAACTACACACTGATGATGTCACCTCGATTGGTGACGAAACGTTCGCAACAAAATTGCAAAGCTCAGCGAAAAGTACCACCGCCATTTGTGAGGTTTGTTTAAACGCTACATTTCGCCATTCTGATTGGCCAGTGCCCGTCACTCTAAATGAATGTTCGCTTTACACTTGGGGTCCCATGAAGCACTTTGTAAGGACATATGTGATTCGCTCTTGATACGTGGTTGCTTATTCGCCCGTTGCATTTGACGTTTTCCTTCTGTAGGTTAGTTCAAGTGTAATTTAGTAGCTTCCCTTCATTTGGTCTTTAAAACTATATAAACAACTGTGGTTTCATGTATACAAGTCTCGTTCCGGCTCATCTTTGGACTTCTTCTTGTGATCGTGGAGTGAAAGCGTCAGTGGCGATACAACAAGTGCTATGATGAAAACATCACTTTACGCCACTGTACAATGGGATTTGTCCAAAAACCTACTCCAGTTTACCTGCACTAGAGTTGTAACACAATGCAAAGCAATTGTACCAGAGAATGCATTCTGGTTATACACGAAACAGGAGAAGTAAGCAAGCTATATCATCTAAACCCATTACTACGTCTTGTAGTATAGTGCACCAATCACAATCAGGAGTTCAGTGTTTGTGGGCTAGCAACACTCAATATCCACTTGCTTTAGTTATGGTCCCCATGACCGCAGTGACCATGGTTCACTTCATTGTGAACCGCGATCTACTTTGGGGGGTGCGCGCTGCAATCCACTCACACAACGTGTACTCTCAAATGGCGCTTCAATCTAGCATTAACCGTTGTGAAAAGCATTTCCCGTCGTGAACCGGTAGCCAGAGAGGTCGAGGTTTCGGCTACTATTCCATTGGTAGAGTGTCCCGGGCCTGCTATCTCTATCTGGTGAGATCAAATCAGATCGAAACACGTCGTGGCTGTGCAGTGTTTTCGGGCGGGCAAATCCCAAGTTCCCTACGCTTCGGCTGTCGGCCCGTAGCCTAGTGGTAACGAGCTTGTCTCTTAATCTTGCGTCGCAGATTCAAATCTCCGTAGGAGTGGGCGTCCTCACGGGATACTCAGCCTGCGTCTGACTGGTGGTGGTCGCACGGCAGCGTTGCACCGTTACAGCGTACACCTGACACATTATTATTATTATTATTATTATTATTATTATTATTATTATCATTAACATTATTATTAAATCTTTCGGCTACGGTCCCGGTGACCGTAGTGACCAAGGTTCATTTCAATGTGGAACGCGGTCCACATTGAGATTGTGCGTCGCAGTCGAATCCCACAACAAGGACATCAAAATGAGCCGTCCAATCAAAAGCAGGTCTTGTGAGAGAACGGAACTGCATTGCAAATCAAGTGCGAAATTTGTCTTGACCTGAATGTGAGAAGGCTCATGTTCCCCCATGAGACAACTATCTTGATAAACTGTTTCAAGAAGGACCAGTTATTACATAATAGATAGAAGTAGATATTCGCATAATGAAAGTATCGTAATCACTGTCTTCATTTTACACGTTAGCTGGAGGTGAGAAACACCGACACTTTTGTCATGTAATAGGAAGAGGTCTGAAAAAGCGAAACACTAATCATTACAACATCCAAAATAAAAAGACAAGAATTAGTCGGGGAAAGCAAAGGAGAGAAGGAAAGGGGAGAGAAACTCATACGAACGTCATCGGGGTCGGTTCTTTGCCATGTCAACAAGTCTATCAAACCAAACGAATTCATCGTCTTTCGGACCACAACTTGGAAATCGTAAAACTCCTATAGAGGCCAAAATGAAATACTTCGGCTCTTTTGACCAAGTCATCGGTTGACTTCCCTACCTCTGCTTCCACATACACATCCGAAACACAAACAATGCTCGTTGTGTAGGCCGGTGTGATGGTATGCGCAACATGTAACCTAGCCATCGGAACCGGGTGTGTGATACAACGGTGCTGAGCGGTTCCTTCGCTCTTCCTGAAACAAGTACGAGAAGCCGAGCATGGTCACGCTGTGTTCGAACCAAACATGAGCTAAGCTGCGAAGATAGCGATGATTGAACGTAACAAGCCTTTTTATTTCTGTCGAATTGATGGGCCAGGCTTTTCATCCGTACGGGGGGTCAAACACACAGTTGCATGGTATACACCGAGTGATGTTACACATTGTTGATGATATTCTACGGGACGAGAGTGATGTCGCATCGACGCCATAGGTGGCGAAGTTGAGCTGAAGCGTTTCGAGTTTTGGAACACTGTGATCTATCCTAGGGGATTGCAGGTCCCCGAAGTTCACCTGCGCTTCCCATCAAGCTCCGGATAGGGCAAATATTAGATGAATTCCAGAAAATGGGGACAAGTGCCATAGTAACAAAGTCTTCCGTAGGTAACCTACCACTTTCTTAGTTGGACGCGGACACATAATAATGGAAGGATGTTTCAGTGCACAGACCTTCAGTAAAGCACAATCCTGTGAGCCATTTATAGTGGCATAAACACGCACAGAAAAGGTAAACTCACGACCATGTGTCATCCATGTAAGATCTACACAACAATGATGAGTATCAACTGGTGACGCTACCTGTCCTAGGATGTGAGATATACATTGCATTATAAGTATTATTATCATAGACATGAAGTCAAACAACTTATAAAAGTGGTATAGGAAGTCGCTAAATACACACCATCAATATGCCAGAGCAAAGAAATAAGCAGTAGAACGGAGTTGTGGTGTAGGATGAGACGTAGAATCAAGATGCCCTGATAAGGTTTGTAAGTAGCCAGAATCGCCACACGCTAAACATACGCAGTAGAGGAACAAGCATAGCTCGGAATTCCAACTAAATAAATTCTTTATTCTCGGAAAATGCGCAACATCATCTGTGAAAACATAAGCAACCCAACGAAACTACTGTATTTCTAACGGAATACTGCTTTAAAATAGGGAATACTTACGTGAATAGGCAAGGCAAACAGTCCACTTTCAGGAGCGGTCGTCGACGAGCCTTGAGGGCGGAAAGCAGTTTGCTGGATTTGCAAGACTTGCCGATTGTGCTCAGTCGATTGCTAACATCTGACACGGTACGCTGGCATTTTCCCATCGTCCGAATTCGTCTAGTAGAGGTGGGTGTAGGGGTCTTCCGCTTGACTTGCTCTCGAGTTGTATTTTTTATCGTTCTGTTGGACACTGATGGGCCCCGACTTGCACATCGCAGTGGTTCCGTTTTGTCACACATGTCAGTGTCATTCACTTCCAGATCAGCCTGCAGACAAATGCTAGCTGATCGGGAAAACTGCTTGGGGAGCCCGGCATCTCGCGGTTGAGAACAGCAATCACCGTCTTTCGAGAAAACACTTGGAAGTGTTGGCGGAGGCAGTTTACTTGTGATCAGAACTTGGGGGACGGAAACATCAGATTCTGTGCATGACACTGAGTGCCCAATAGCTGGTGGCGAGGTCAGGGTCACTACAACCTCTGGACTAAATCCTGTGGCTGGTGAATTTGCGGCCAATCGTGATCTCTCTGAAATATGGTCGCCAGCTGTGGACGTCGTTCGTTCGCTGCAGCTGGACATCCTTAGTTGATTTGAAGTCACCTCAGAGTTTCCAAAGTCAACAATGGTTTCCTGTAACCCCTGGATAGACGGAAAGACAGACAAACACGTCAACAAATTCCACCCATGTTACTGCTCTTGGGTACTTATGTGCTGCCTAACTCCAAGAAAACCAAGCGCGACTGCAAGTGCGGAATAGCATTCGAGTAATTATTGGGCTTACAGCTTTTGCGAATTCAGTCGTCAATTGAATGAAAGAAGAAGAAGAGGGATATTGATAGCCGCATGCCCTTGGGTTAGGGTGAATCCAGCTGTAAGAATCTGCTCGAAAGACATCTCATCGGAGGAATTGTAGTGAATTTGCCTGGGGCTGAAGGAGTAAAGCTACACCGAAAGTTTATTTATAAAGAACATGGAACAGAAGAGGTAGGAGCGCATACTTTTAACAGTTGAACGGAAGACAATTTCCCAATCAAATCATGGTGAATCTACGGCTGGACTTCTAACTCGATGTTTATTGCATGCCTTCAGACTCATCTATCTAGTGACGCAAATTTAGCACTCTGGCAGTGAACGTTAAATCAGAGGATAAGCGACCTGTCCACAGCAAATCGACAAACATTTATTCCCTTATTTTGGCTCTTGTGAAGAAGAATACGTTGGTCGTACACTAAGGAGTGATGGAATACCAACCAGCCTAGATTAAAACTAGGAACAAAAAGGCAACTACCTTCTCAAAACCCGCACATCTTGCAGACACATATCACGCCACCAAATCAGATGACAAACTTACGGCTAAGAATTATTTCAACACCAAGCGTAAGGCTTCACCTCAAGGACAGACTTCCTCGGTCAAGTACTTCTTTCTGTATATACTCCTTTACCTGTTCATGTCGAGCAAGCTATATAGGAAGAACAACCAGGAGGCTGTCTGAGAGAATCCGTGAGTATTGCCCGACTTGGCTGTGTGCAGGTGGAACAAAAACAGTGACGAGCGCCGTGTTGGCACAACTAGTTGATTGTAACCACCAGATCGATACGTACCAATGTTTTCAGCCAATTTACCGCGTACCTGGATGCTACACACGAGCGGTAAGATGTCGCTTATTAGCAACAGCCGAGGCGATCGCCATCCGCCTCCAGAACCCAGACCTATGTGCACAAAAACAATTCGTTCAGATTCACTCTCTTCCCTGGCCCCCCATTACAGTAACCCCCGCTGAGAAACATGCAACTGATATGTCATTGACCGTTTGTGAACCAAGCACTGGACCTTATCATTCAAATGACCTAGTCCTCTTAACTTTACCCCTTGGACTTTACTCCCGTCTGATGTTTCAACTCATTCCATTCGTATTAGTTGTGGTGTACCAGCCAGATGAGATCCACCGAAAACGAACAATGAACAATGATATATTACAGGTAAAAAAGCGATTGCTTTACAAGTCCCGTAGGATGGTTGAAGTGAAAGCAAACATAAGTGTAAATCGTCAATTTAAGCGTCTAGCGATTCAGATGCCCTTCTTCATTAAAATATTTTAGAATGCGTATTGAATTGTTACTGTAGAGTAATATGGGGAAGTAATATGGGGAAGGTATGTCTTAAGAACAAAAGAAACGACAACGCTTACTCGTGCGCCGCTTTCTTGGACTGATGTAATTGATGAATGCAGTTGTAGTATATCCGAACGATATTCCACAGCAGCAGCGTGTAAGCAGGTGAGAATGAGCACCGTTTGTCTGCGTTTGGTTGACGTAGACATCACTGATTATATAGCGTAATGTAAGTGGATAAGCGAATCATCCAGACGTCTTTTGAATACCGTTAGCGTGGGGGAAGAAACAACGTATGTGGGAAGAGCGTTCCAGTGTTGGCATACACGAAGGGAGAAGAAATTCCGGCGGCATTCCAACCGGCTGTTTTGTGTGGCCAGGTTTAGCTAGTGTCCTTAGAGTGTGGTATTGCGATTCAGCCTTAGTAGGTGACGACAAGAATGGTTTGGATTCCTCTAGATCATATAAAGCATTATCAACTCGCCACGCAGGCGTCGATATTGTCCACTGTAGACCCCGAGAGTTTTCTGCCTCAGTCGGTAAGGGAGATGTAACAGGCCCTTTACGATCTTGGTCGCCCTTGGTTGTGGCAGTCAAAGAGTAGTAAGGTCTCGCTTTTGGCATGGTTACCAGGAGTGGATGGCGTACTCAGAATGAGACGGAATATAGGCGTTGAGCATATGCAAAAATATGGAAGGCTCAAAGCGCCCTAATGCCCTCCGCAAAAGGCCAAGATGTTGGTTAGCTTTTTTGGAGGCTTTCTCCACTTGACAGGAACAGCCCAGATCTTCCTGCACTATCACGACTAGATCGCATTCCGTTGAATTGCGCTGCAATATTTGATTCCCCAGTCGGTATTCGCAAGTGGCCTTATGGCTTATGCCCAACATCTTGCACTTTGTAGCGTTGAACTGAAGCAGGTTCTGCGTCAACCATTCGTAAACCCTGTCCAGATCATTATGAAATGCTGCATTGTTCCCTGACTCTTGTTCTAAATTATGCCCATCTTTTTTATTAATCGAGTTACTTCTGTGTCTGTCTATTACTATGGTAGCGTTAGTCATGGCAACCGACAGTCGTAAATCCAGAGTAGATGCAGATAGGCGTCGTACAAGATCTACCCATGTTTCAATAAGCGCTCAGGTTTAGCTGACAGTTTCATGCATATTAAGCAACATTAAAATCTCTCCAACTGGTGACCAGGTATGTATCGCGAGAGGGACCGAGTGAAGCAAAGGTCGGACGACATTCTCTTCGATATCAGTGGCATGTCGGTTATCATCTCGTAGTTTAGACTGTGTCTGATACTGAGTCGTCTCTTAGTTGGATTAAGTCTGAAGCGGACCAGTGAAAGCCGCGTGGTCAGTGTCTCACCGATGCGCCTTATTTCGCAAGAAAAGCAGCTTCTTATGACTGTATCTTATTACCAAATTGTGCACGCCTTGCTCCGGACAACTTACCTTGGTTTGTTGGGTTTAACGTTAGGTTCCCCTTCTTCTCATTTTATTATTCCTCAGTTCCTAGGTCGTTCCAGCTAAATGATAACAAAACTGCGGTTTAAATAAACACTAGATGTTGCCCACCCGAAAAGATTGCACTTCAAGAGCAGCGTGGAACTTATTTTATATCATCAGGTAGAGATAGAAGGTATGGAACCACTGGGCCAGTAGGATGCCTGCTGAAACCCAAAACCCATTTAACTGGCTTGCCGAACTACCTCCTTGTGATGCCAGCTAGGTGGTCCGGGTGTACCCCTTTCCAACGAAGTGTTCGGCGACAGTGTCCTACCTCCGTGGGGCATTGTAGTTCAACAATTGTGCTGATTTCATGGGGAGTATTGGGCCCCCGTTTGGTGATCTAACAAAAGAAAGACGCATGAACTGAACATTCAGCCAGAGCCTCCCAATGGGCGCGATTCGCTAAATTCGCCACGCTGCCTTGCCGGCAGGTTATTTAGCCAAAGGCTGCGGGTGGGGTCCCCTAAGTCAACTCCCCAGTTCGGCTTGGGTAATCGGGTAGTATCACGCCCTCTCAAAAAACCATAGACCGTACTACAACGTGCTCATCAGCTACCGTTTTCGATTCGCATATCCACGTGACTTCATCCCACGCCAATTGTTCGTTTGCTAACAATCCTCATTTTCGGTTACCCGATTCATCTGTTCAACAATCTGGCTGCCATTCTGGTTGCGCTGTGAACCACAGAGTTCAATCTATGGCCCTCCTTCGTCCCAGATCTTCGCTCCGTCTGGCGTGCTTCAACTTTCAGACACTCATGCAGATTGGACAGCAGGCCGGTCTAGCTCGCAACCTAGAGTCTCTCGATATTGATATACACTGTCGTTCAGAAACCCGGATGCAAGATCCCAGCACGGTGCTTACATTGACACTCCCCCCTGACCACGAAGCCAGATATCACCTGCATCTTTCTGGCTTTCCAGAAGAAGCGTCACTGGGTTTGGCTGGTGTAGGTGTAGCACTAAGTGGCAAGGCCGAGTCTGGGCGAGAGTTTGCCATAAAGCCTAACTCGGGCCGAACTATGCACGCACAGCGCTTTGACAGTGTTTACATATTTATCAGTCACACCTTTCCTCAGTAGACAGTCCCAAAGGGCATATCCACTGACTGACTCGAAGGCACTTTTATGTCAAGAAACACGACAACGGTGGGTAGCCAAAAAACATAGCAGTGCTCCAACGATTGACGCAAAGTGAAGATGTGGTCGATGCAGCCCGAACCTCGATGAAATCCTGCTTGCTCTTCACTCATATGGCTTTCACGAGTGCCAGTCAGTCTGTGGAGAATGACAGAGGCAAACAATTTATAGGCAATTGAGATAAGGCTGGTCCCTCTATGATTGCCGCATTCCGAACGGGAGCCTCCCTTGAAAATTGGGGCAATGACGGAGCGGCTGCAGTCTGCCGGGACAGTCTCCTGCGCTCTCATTGCTCATCAAGGACCTGGCTGGATGCGACCACGTGCTGATGAGCCTTCCACTTGGTGACAGAACATGAAATCGCTGACGTCCTGCCTAGCTGCTGTTGGACCCGTACATCTTCCAGAATGGGAACCCAAAGATGAGGCGGGTCAATGGCTTAACACTCTTGAAGACATGGCTCGCAACCAGAATCAGTGGAAGCGTTGTATGCAGAATGGTTTTGATTCATATGTTTAATACTTCAAACATTGAAAATGACAAAAAAGAGAAAAATCGGCGTGTGAAACACAAACTACAAATGTTTTGTTCTACTTTTTGTCAAAATGTTCCATCCTTCCTACGGCATAGTAGCTGAAGTGTGTTGTTCACCTTCAACTACTATGCCACGATGATTATTACGCAGTGACACCCTTATTTGCTAATCACCATGACTTTGTTGCCTCTATGTCTAGTTGCTAGACTGTTGCGATTACATTCATACATAGTACACATTTAGTCAGCCCAAATTGCTACCGCACTGTTGCCGTCATTGTTGTTGTTGATGATGCTTCTGACGATCAAATGTGAACAAAGGGGATCGAGCGCAATTGGAACATAGATCAGAAACATGACTACACCGAAGCTGCACATCCCGGTTTAGCATGTTGCCATCGTGGGTTCGCACTGCCAAACATACCTTCTAGATAACAACTGGATGTTGGGTATACAACGGTCATCAAGAGAGTATGCTCGTCCGCTCTGTCACTCGATGCATCCAGCATAGATGGTTGGTAGTCATTTCTTCTTGCGACTGTGTCTATCTCCAGGAAGATCTGACTTAGATTAACGAATGGGCAGAAAGAAACCAGCTCCCACTGAACCCTGTAAAGTGTCACCAGCTGACAGTGCGCAGCAGCTTCGTTAACACAAACCTTTTGGGGCAACATGTCCTGCAACACGTGACTAGTGCACACGACAAGTATAATCGTATAAGAGCGTCTTGGCAATTCACTCCAACGTTCGAAAGCAGCAAGTGTGGTGGACTTGAACTTAAGACTTTTGAGGCGAGCTCTCGGCACCCTTGGGCGACGGCTAATACCATCGCTAATTAGCCCCTATATTCGCCCTCACGTTGAATATGCAATCAGGCCTGGTGTCCATGTTTAAAAAGAGACATTCGCCTATTGGAACAGCTCCAAAGAAGAGCCACAAAGGCAACGCGTGGACTATCCGGTCTAAGTTACAAACTGCATCTTCGTGTACTCGGTGTGTTATCAGTCGAATACCGACGGCTTCGCGGAGATCTTACTCTCACATACCGAATACTAACTGAAAGCGAGCATTCATGTACATCACTGTTGACTCTAGCCCCTTACAAACAAAGCCGAGGAAACCACCTGAAACTAATGACGCAACACTCTCTTCTGAATTGTAGAAAGTATTTTTACTCACTTAGAGTCTGTTCTCACTGGAATGCATTATCAAGCTATGTGGTGAGCGCACCATACATCACGACATTCGAAAGACTCTTAGACTTCCATCTTAGTGATAAACGCTACACAACAGTTTGCTAAACTGCAATGATTGAACCACTGATACTTCACGTTCCATGTTGGAACATTTTGAGTTTGATTTTCTTTTGCTTATCCATCCTGTATGTCTAGTAAAGTTATGCATTTTATCGCATCATACACTATTAAACTATTGAACGAGGCAAGGACCAGCAGCTATTTCCTGTGGACTGTACCTGAAATTGGAGCATCGTAGACGACTTTAAATGCTATCGTTACACACAGACAAATCCGACACATCGCACGAAAATGGAGTAAGTTAAACCGTAGCACGCACGTATTTATGTGAGTACAAGCAAAATACAACAAAGAAACAAAACACGCATCAAGCGAATTGCAGTGCCAGAAATTTCATGCTGTATGTGGCTACCTAGCTGCTTCTACTAGTAACCATGTTAACTCAGCTGCCTGGAGTCGACGACTTCCTGGTCCCAGATTCCTGCCAGGCGGGACATTGCTTGGATGTGTTTAAATTTTGTAAAGAGCCAGTACACTTCACACCATCTGGCACTATAGTGCTATCGAACCCCCCGTTGGCAAGGTATCATATGGATCATGCCGACTGCTTATCGAACGGGCGAGCTGAACTAATTTAAGCCGACAGTCGGAAAGCTGTTCGATTGCCGGCAGTCGAGCAGCAACGCGTACACACGTGAAGGGGAATTGCCTTGTAATCCCGCACGAGCAATTGGCTCTATCGATGAACATATCATAGGTCGTCAATCAAGTTAAACCAAATCGGAGTGCCTCAACGGAACTTAGGTTGCCCTATAAATATTCTCTGGCCTTCTGTATATTATTGATGCTGATCGCATCCCAGTGTTTGTACTTGATTCTCGATGGGTGTTATCCGACAGTGGCATCATTGACTCACAGTGGATTAATGCGTACCAACAAATAACACATTTAAAGTAGTAAGCTAACCTTTTGCATCTGATTTTCGCCCATATGTGTGGTATTAATAGGGCAAATTGCAATTTCTTTTGACGAGATGGGTGTTGTGGAGAACGGAGTTGTGATCACCTTGTTCTCCAATTGTTCCACTTTGAGCGCTGACGCCGCACTCCTCCTTACGGAAGGTTCCCGAACAATGCCGTTGAAATCGTTCCATATGGCATCCAAGAAGTTAGCGTAGGGCACTGCTCTTCCATATCGAGTATGATGATAGACCATCAGTGCTTTGGAAGCGTATACAGAAGGATAGTACAAAAAATCCGGCTCCAGATAGACTCGATTGAGGTTCACTCCACGACTGTCGGTTCTATAGTGTCCGCGAACCACTCCGTCCGGATTGAGCATTGGAATTAACTTGAAGACATATTGTTTCCGTAGCTGACATGCTCTGGCGTCGGTAGGACGCAGCAGTAGTTCAAGTAACCCATTGAATACGTGACTGGATGGAGTTTCACCGGGATGAACGCGAGAAGAAATGAAGATGACCTAAAAGAGGGGGTACAAAAAACTGTATCACACTGGAATGTGAAACTGGTCAGCTCTCCTTTCAACGGGTCGCATCTAGGAAATTTACGGTAAAATGCCACCTGACACTGTGAGCTCACTTTCAATGATCTACTAAATCATTTCGTTATTATATTAACGTACGAAAGTCAACATTGTTTACATGCTTACCATGGCATAACCTTGATAAAGAATCCATCGAAAATGATCACTCGCTTTTAGATTACCGTTTTTGTGTTTCTTTCTGCTATTTGGGAAATGCGTCCTGGTAGAAAGTCAACCCACTCTCAGTGTTTGTTGTTTTACTCGACTAGCTCATTACCTTCGGGAATAGTGCCGTTTAATGCCACAGTATGAGCAGTATGACGACTAAAAGGGACGGTCTTTGATATTTTGGTGAAGTATGTAACAGTTGTGTGTATCAAAAACCGTGGGTTTGCTGCGTTTGGCTCTGTAAATAACCAATGGGAACACTATCATGGCGAATGTCTCAGTAAACGTCCTCTAGGGGAGAAAATGAACTGGGCTTCTTCGCCCTCACTATTTTAATGAAGGTGGAACTTGAGACATAAACTTTCGACATACCTTGCATGCGCTATTTGATGGATGGGACGTGTGACGAATTAACTTGTTCAACCTAGCTGGAGATCTCCTTTTAATGATTGACCCCAAAACGATCCATCACCACTCCTTGATTGATTATTGGAATTCGCATGGTAAAACTTCAGTTACTTTGTTTCTTCTTCACAGTTGCACCTTGATTAACCACAATAATTTACCCGTATTGCATCACTCAACGGTTAAGCTTGCTCCTCTCGCGTTCCACGTGGACTGCTCCTTGCCTGATCGATTGACGATTCATCACTTCGCTTTAAACCACGCTGACATTAGAACGGCTTCGCTACATTGTGCTTATCAGTTGAGCTGTTGAAGGCACGTTGCATTTGCGAGCCGAATTATGGTACATATTTGGTCTGGCAATTGTTTGAGGTTTGTTATGGAATTGTTGTCTAACCATTTGTAAATAGCACATTAGCACTTCCGGCTTTGACTTTTGGATTGACCCGGCTGCGCTAGGAGTTGCTCAAATTCCTAGACCCAATTGTCGATAACAGAACGTGTATAATGTAACGACTTGGAAGAACATTAAACTACTGACGTCGTGCGAGACACACAAATGCTTACGAAAGAATTTGACGTTAGGAGTGGTGTCGTAGCAGTCCTTTAAAGTTTCACTAGTTCCATTTAATCCCTGCTGAAACTTGACATAAAAATATCTCCTACTCCTGCTGATCCTGCTTACAAAGATACAACGAAGACCATTCTCCACAACAGCAGCGAAACGTGACTCTTTCGACCACAGGACATGAGGATCCCTCAAGCATTAACTATCTTTGTAAATGGACCATTCTTAGTCTTAGATAACTCCACTGCTTCTTCAACAAGGTATACATCTGTTGATGATTATTCTGTTCTTTTAGATCAACTAATAACAGGGAGTAACTTGCATCGCTTTGGGCAGTGCTACGTAACCTGGTTCAAGACTTGTCGATGAAGGCATGGAGTTGTTTGACTAATTTATGACTATACTATGTTCGAGAACGTAACCCTTGACTTTGTCGCGGGAAAGGAAATCGCCAACCGTTAAACTGTGGGCGGATGATCTGCCTCGCCTTCCGGAATCGGTTCCGTGAGATGAGCTCTGTTCTTCGCCAAGGACCTTAAGGGACATGACTAGCGACCCGCAACAGTGGCACGGTTGTCATCATCATCTAGTTTGCGAAATTTTTGGAAGCACTGTACTCAGGCATTTTTGGGACATATTTGGTCATCATGCGAGGTAGTGAAATTCACAAGCAAGTTTTCGCATTCATTTCACCGTCTTCTCAACATAGGCAGCTGATTGTGACCCTGCGGTGTCGATACTAAATGCCAACTGATACACACTGGATTTTGCACGTAACGAATATTATGCCAAAGGTTTCTTTTATCTGAGATGATGTTAAACAAAATTTCACTTCATACTGTTAACTAGCTGTATATTTAGCTGCATCACGTGACCCTGCGCATGAATTATGCCTGGAAATTCGGAGTGTGTTTTAAAAACATCCCGACGAAATGTAGCTTAATCTTACCAGTTCTGTGCGTTCTCCGCCGCTACGCTTGCTGCGAAAAATAAAAGTATATGTAAATATACCTCAGGCTGAGGTTGATGTCCAGTTTATACTGCTTCTTCACTGCAATGCGGCTAGCATGACTTACAGTTGTGCTGTCATGCACTATAGCTGTCTGGACCAATTTAACTTTATTACCTCAATTCTGTGGAGTTTCCGCGCAATCCCTGTTTATTTTGCGTTTTATTCTATTGTTTTTGGTTCGTTGGTTGATCTCCCCTGAGTTAGCTATTCACATTTGCTCGAGATCACACCTGCAATGGATCCGAATTATTGCTCTGGTTTTTTAGCCAAACATTTGTCGTCCAGTCTGCATGCATAATTTCTGTCATATGACTTGTATAGGTTTAAAACCCTCTCCCTGGCTACGCTTGACGTGAATGTTGACAAGTCCCCGCACAACGAAAAAGCGCTAATTCGATAACACTCTTTACAGAAGGCTGTGAATCGTTGCCGGGGTGACGGGATGCACAATCCTCGTCATCGCGATAGGCTCAAAGAGTGGTTCCACCTAGTGTGGAGCGGACTGTGGGTCAACCACCGCCTTGACACCCAGATTAGACAGGGATGCAGCTGCTGTGTGCATGTTGAAGGAGTGTGGACCGGCTTTGTTGATGAAATCTGACTCGCATTCACATGCCTTTCGGTCTCATTCCTTCTGGTTTACTTTGCTTATGGGGTGTGTGCATGGAGACGTGATAGTTGCAGCAGAGACCACCCATATATAGTATGTTCGGCCAATACTTGCACAATCGATAGATTGTCACAACATGTGGATTAAATAAATATGACTACGGAGCGAGAAAATTAACAAACCCAACAACCGTAAAATTTCTACTCACCAGAGCAGGGTCGCACAACATGCCCGTTATTGAGCACAGCATCTTGCCATGCCCCATAGGTTCCAGCCAAGCATGTTTGTAGTCCACGCGTCCTCACCTCAAGAATTCAGAGCGCTCGACCACGGGCAACGTATACCAGTGCCTTCATATTTTGCTTCTGAGTAATTCTTTGTTGTTGTTGTTGTCGTCGTCGTCGTAACGCTGCCATGGCTCTACTCTCTGCACATTGCTCCGTCTAACACAACCGGAGGAGACGGAAGCCAAGACTTGTCTGACCGGGCTGTACTGAGGAGAGAACATGGTTATTTTTGTAGGTCACGCACGCTTCTTCGTCTCTGCCTTCTGAGCAGAATTTACGCCACTTGGCTGCTTGGTGCTCATCTGTTTGTACACCTGCAGGTACTCGCAATTTCCCGTATTCGGCTGCCTGCAAACCATGGCCAATTGCAGTCGCGTTCTCGCCTGCCACGTAGTAACCGGCGCCATTGAGGACGAACTGATTTCGTCAGCTAACGACGTCCTGAAGCTGTGCGCCGGCGTTCATCAGTTGCAGTCATCTAAGAGTTGCCTATTTTTCTTCCGCTTCCAACCGATGTCTGCGTGCGCAAAGAAGGTACGCAGAGGCAAATGCTTAGCTGACATGCGAAGCACGTGCTCCAGCTACCTAGCCTACGCACTGAAACTGTGCAGTTCAGCAGTCAGCAGAGTGTCTGATTTGAACATCTTTCGACTAACGTCGTCACTCAAAGGTTATGTGGCCATCTTACGCCAGCAATGCTTCGAAGGTAGGGACAGTCAAAAATAGTCATATTCTGGACATATTTTGCGCGAACAGGCCAGTCCCTCAACCATAGTGCAGGATTGCTCGCTCCGTAAAATTTTGGACTGGACGGTTCAGAGTAAGACTGTCACGTCGATCTCAGAAATGACAATTGCCAAAAGCAACCCGAGCCTCCCAGATTCACAGCGACCTCATCAATTAGACCGTTGATATTGGTGCATCATTCAAGCTAAACGAACTAAGGTACCAGTTTCGAAATATGACCCGATGTGAAAAGAGAATGAGCAGTTGGTGGCTAGTTTTGCAGGAAGATTTTGCACTTCGATGGTGCGAAGTTTCCTCTGAAATGAGAGACAGACACCTCCGACTTACGCAACACCTTTAGTGCAATCTATGAGGAATCACAACTTAAGGCGAGGTCCTCTGCATCACCCAAATCAAGAAATCGGTCCGCCGAGAGTTGCTCCAGGCAACCGGGCTCGTAACCGTCCGGTGCACTCTCAAGGATGGTATCCATAGCAAAAATGAACAAGAAGGATGATGCTTTGCGGCCCTGTCTCACGTTATGCCCTACAAGCATGCTCGGTGCGAGGGTTGAGAGTGAACGGACTGAAAGATGTGACCATACTTCTTTGACACATTTTCCTAACAGAAAAA